TGTGTGGGAGGTAAGAGAGGACATTTAAGGGCTATGTTTGATGTCTTTTAAGTATCACCTGCTGGTGTTTAGCTGCTGTCCTGTGCCTTCTTAAATCGTTTGTTTACGTCCCTCACTTCCGTTTCGCTTCTCATTTGCTAGCTGAACAGCTGATCAGAGTGGTTTCTTGGCCCGATAGCTTGTGTCCGACAAATGGCATGTGTCGACCGTGAAAGGCCAAATAAGGCGTGTCACGGCCGAGGGTTCGGGACACACCAAATTCACTTTGGGCGACAGGGCACGCTTCGTCGCCAGACAACCGAAGACGGCCGATATCGGCCTGGTGTGTCTGGGCCTATAAAACTACAGTAACTCTGGATTAAACGCATCCAATATTTGGAATCCCTTATACATAGTTAGGAAATGTTAATCTAATGCAGTAATGACAAGTTCAACTCCACTAAAATACTTGCTATAAATAGTAGCTGCTAAAAACAGAGTCAAAGATTACTGTGACGGGAATAAATGGATGAAAAGTACATTTGGGAGAGAGATGGGAGAGAAACAGAGCAAGACAGTGAAATAGGAAAAAGAGATTATGGAGACGTGCTGACACCAAGCACGTCTCCATTGCATTCAGCTGTTCACATCTTTAAATGATTGTGTGTACTGCTCAGGAAGGGCTTTACATTAGACCACACACTTAGAAGGGTCCTGGCCAGTATGATGGCATACAATCTGAATCATTTCACAGATAATTTGGTTGTCACAGCCAGCCAATAGTAATAACAACATTAGAGAGGGAATAAGAAAGGAGGAGAGGAGCGGAGCCAATCACCCAAGGCCAATCGCTGTGTCTAAGCCAGAGCGGTGTTTGTGGAAAAGAAGACCTTTTTATTCACTGGCTGAAAAAAAGGGGATTCTTTTTTTTATATTTCCACTTTTAAACCACTTCCTTTTTCCCCCTTCTTTGGCGTGACGCTCTAAAAGTGAAGCGTTTAGCAGGGCTGCAGGATGAAATGCGTTTTTACATAGGCGTTGGTGGCAGTGAGGTACGCTGCTGTAATCGCAATAATACACTTAGTTTGCAAACGTGCATTCTATCGGCTTTCATCCCCTCCGAAATAACCAATCCGAGGTGTGTGTGTCCCCTATACATTATTCAGATGCTCCGAGCCACCCACATCTGTTCATTTCTCCGGACGACACACTCTCTCCTCTGATAAAAAATAATTACTCTGCTGCCAAGAACACACACACTCTCCCGCTGAGAGCTCTGGCACCCATGTCAACCTCCAACAATGGATTCCCATGGGACGCAGTGTGTTAGAAGCTCTGTTTGTACACAAATCATAATCACGTGTGCAGCTGCACTCAAAGTCACAGATGCACGCAACTCTGCACACACACACATCATTATGACAAATATGGCTGCATACATTCAAGACACCTGTACGTGCATTCTATCAAAAGATGTCATGATGGCTCATAAACGGCTCCTTGTGACTGCAGGATGGATACACAGAAACATTTAGCATGGGTGGGCGCTAGCATGATTATGATTATGTGTTGACTTTCTGTGTGTCCTGTTTGTATGTGCATTGGAGACAAAAGGGATAGGAGTATGTATTTGCATTATTCCTCTGTCCTCGTGTGTGTGGATGAGTGTCTGTTTCTGTGTGTGGAAGAGAGAAGGAGGTGAAGAGAGAAGGAGGCAGTCTTCTCTGTAGTGTCAGCCTTTGATCACTGTCCCTGTGTGTGTGTGTGTGTGTGTGTGTGTGTGTGTGTGTGTGTGTGTGTGTGTGTGTGTGTGTGTGTGTGTGTGTGTGTGTGTGTGTGTGTGTGTGTGTGTGTGTGTGTGTGTGTGTGTGTGTGTGTGTGTGTGTGTGTGTGTGTGTGTGTGTGTGTGTGTGTGTGTGTGTGTGTGTGTGTGTGTGTGTGTGTGTGTTAGAGCCAACCTCTGGTGTCTTGGAGGCAGATGAAACACTGTGCCTCTATCCGGGACTCACAGAACACCCACTATCCTCCTCTCCTTTCTCTCTCCCGCTCCCTTTACCCTCCTCTAACCACCATTCCTTATCACAGCCATTTTAAAGGCTATTCATGTCGAGCCGCGCTTTCATCTTGCATTGCGCCCCTTTAACCAGCTCCTCTGTTTTTTTCCTTTCCCGAGCCTTTTATCAGATTATTGAGGAAGAGGAGGACGGGTGAAGTGGCCCGCTGTTGTACACTGACTCACAGTCAGATGGACGCTGCGTGAAGGTGCAGGAAAGACGGCAGCTTGACTGTAACAAGATAACGTTCGGATGTAGGGTGTCTTCCAACACTGTGTAACCTAGATCAGCCTTTCAAGCCTCACCAGCACTATTTTTACAAGAATGCTAACAAGAAATTGTCTCAAAGTGTATTTTCCTTAGTACATTTTTCGACTGACTCCTATTTTCTGTGCAAGAAACTCCGCTGACATACAGTAGAAACATTGCTTTGTGTTGCATTAATTAGCTTAATTAAGGACCTCATGAGCATAATTGGTTATGTTTAATATATCATGGTGATTACAGTAGGGCATTAGGCGGCTTATTCGCTCGTGTTTGTGCCCGCTTTAATTAATGCACTCTAACACAGCGGCTTGTTTGTGGTGTGTTTAAAGGGCAGCACAAAATGCGGTTACTGCCTGTGCTTCGATCCCCCTTTTTTCGGATCATCTGAGGTTATTATTATCGATTAGTTTTGGTTATATTTCAAGGATGAAGAGAGAAATGATCAAGTGATATTGTAACTTCAGTAAGTTAGCCTTTACTATGAGTATGGATATTACACATACACTTTTATTTACAGTACAAATATACATGTGTAAAAGGGTGATAAGGCAGACTTGGTTCAATAAAGTATTATTCATAATTTCCCTTATTATTATTATTATGCCAGAATTGTATGAATCAGCCGTTGTGAATGTTATTGTTTTGCATTATAGTTTTGAAGCAAATGCACTTCCTAATATTTCTATAATATTCAGAGAAAGTGAAAATGCACCTTATTCATATCCGTAGGAGTAGGCTCATGTTCAAATAAGCGTAGTTAAGTGAGGAATGCTTGTGACTTTATATTGAGTCTAATTAGAAATGTTGATAAAGGATCTTGATAACACTAATTAGCCACCCAGAGCAGACAACACACTGTGGGCTTGTCTCCTAGCATCTGGTCTGAGTGTTTAACCTCTACTGTACAGGCCTAATGGATGACCTTTCCAGTTCACCTGCCTTTAATAAAGCTCTAATTAAGAGAGCCATGAGGACCTGAGCGGCTACCAGTTAATGGGTGCTTAAATAAAAAAGATGTAGGTGTTTGGTGGAAGATACTCAGAGGTACTCACTAGAGGCAAATGTCAGCAAACAGAAGAGGTTAGCTGTTATTGCAGTAATCTGATAAATGAATGATAGTCTAGAGGGAAACGTTGAGGAATATTTAGTACTTTTTTTCATTTCACTCAGAATACCTTTATTCTTCCTACAGAGGGGTAATTCACATTGGTACAGCTAAGAACCAAAGATAGCTTAGTATTAAGAAGCATGCATACAAATATTAAAGATACAACTATAAATTACACAATTTACAAAATACACATCCAGAACCAGTAAGAGTTTTGTCATTGGCGGCCAGCAAGGCCTTCTCTGCCTAAACTCTATCCGGATTACTGACTAACCTTTTAATATATATTTTCACTGACATGTATTCAATTATTTCCAATAGAATAGAATAGTATATTCTCTTCATTTCATAGCATTTTCTCTGTGTTGCGCTCGGTAGCGCTGCGTCCAGTAATGGTTGTTAATGTTGGTGTTGGGGCTTCTTTTATCTAATCATATTTGAGTCAGAATGTGTTGCTGGGTCAAATGAATCTGCCGGAGACATTCAGAATCAGCAGTGCGTGCGCTTGTACTTTAAAAAAGTGGCAATGAAACTGTTGCATTGACCAATCAGATTTCGAGTTGGCGACACCGGGGCCATCTAGCAGGCCGACGATGACGTCGGCCTTTTCACGGTTCACTTTTCATTAGCAAACACTAGCGTGTGTTGCGGTAGCTACCGGTAACAAACGGCTGGCACACAGCATCTGTAGCCTCCTTAGCTACCTGCACAATGTACACATATTTGTGTTTAGATTTTAGAGCGTTTTTTTCAGCCCACAATCGCTGACAGCGGAAGAGAAATTGATTTGGTCGAAGCTAGAAAGCATGTTGTAGCCGGGGAAAGGGTTTGTCCGCCCACCACTAGCTACGAGCGGTACCATTGGCTCACAGCCTCGGAGGAGTACTGCAAACTGTATAGAGTGCCGAAGTCCCTTCCTTTCCGGGGGACCTCCATGGGACCTTATTTCGGAAAAAGTATGTATTGAAGTCAATGGGGAGAGAAAGATTATCTTTCGATCCCGTTTGAATTGTGCCACGAATTACACATATGATGTTTGTCAATTTAAAAGATAATTTTGCAAGTCAAAACAATTAAAATGTGTCCTAAAACTGTGAAGTAACACTTTTTTTTGTGTGAAACCGCTCAATGAACTACATCTCCCATCTCGCACCACACACCAAGACGGCCGTCACGTTGGCACATTTCCCTTCTTTCTTTCAGAATGAGGCGAAAAGTATTAAAAGAGGTGAAAATCACTACAAGTCTGGGCATGTTGAGAGCTGTACATACACACAAGGGGAGTTAGTCGGTTCCGTAAGAGCCAACATGCGGGACCGGGATCCTGGGATTTGTAGTCTTTCGTATTTTTCATAGTCTTATATTTCAACAGTTTTACGACAAACTGTGACTTTTTTGACATGGAAATAATTGTTTAAGATTGACAAACATCATAATGTGTAATTCGTGGCACAATTCAAACCGGATCGAGAGATATGTTTTCTCTCTCCATTGACTTCAATACATACTTTTTCCGAAATAAGGTCCCATGGAGGTCCCCGGAAGGGGAGGGACTTCGCCTCTCTATTGCTGGAAATGCCTGATATTGTCAACTAATGGACTTGGTGTTTGGAGCCTTATAAGTTTGCAAACTTGAGTCTAACCAAGGCAGCGGCGAGACACAAAAGCACTGCTGGAAACTTACAAGCAGCGGTGCTTTTGGAAACCTTTGGGGGAGCCTCAATGGCGTTAGAACAGGACTTATTATTGGAACTGAAAACTCAAATAGTACAAATAATCAAACGTATTGGTGAGTAAAGGCTCTAATGACTTTTCTTTACATGTTTTTATATGTTCTTGTCATTTTATTAAGTAAATATTGGAGCTTCTGCTAGAGTTGATGTGTGTGGTGTGGCTGCAGTGAAAGGAGACTTGTTGCATTGTGTTATTTGGGTTTCTTGCTTTGTAATGGCGGTCATTTTCGCTACATAGATACCTGTCAGCTGTCAGTGATGCAAAGCCCTGTTATACTGCGTGTCTGTACAATATTAATGGTTTCTATAGCCGTGAAGTCATAATGATGGTCTTAAGAGGTGGATTCATTCAGGTGGGACACTACTGAAGGCCTAGGTGTGAAATGCACTGCCCGCTACTGAGTTTAAAAATATATAAAACTCGAAAGGATCAGGAAAATATTTAACAAATACAAAACGTGATATTATTTCTTTATGTACAAACGTTTGACAGTAGCTGTAGTACAAGTCCATGTAAAGTATATGTGTCCTATTGAACATGGAAATGTTGAATCTCTCAATGATACTGTACTGTATTCAGGCATACTTTACTTTTTTAATCTCAGAAACCTTTAAACACATTATTTTAAGCAACTGAGTTAAAACAGGGGTAAATAATACATTTATTGGGGACTATTTTCAGTTGCGGATTAATACACATTTCTGTCCTCTAGAGAGAATTTCTATGTATGTATTTGGGATTGAATCAAATCAAATTAAAGTGTCCATGTTCATATTAATGAATGAAAATATCACTCAATGTTTTGGGATGTGTTGAAATCACACAAATAGAATGCTACAAGTCTTATCCTTTACCAGGGAATTTAAACATTAAACCGTTTATTCTTAAATTATCATCCACGTTTAAAGGGGACCTATCATGCAAAATGTACTTTTTTATGTCTTTTATACATAAATATGTGTCCCCGGTGTCTCGGGGAACTCACGCAGCGTCAGAAAATAAAACCCTCTCTCTTTTCCTCCGTACCCAAATCTCTAAAAACAGGGGTACAACGGAGCTGATCCAGATTTGCGTCCGATATGATGTAATATCGGAAATGTGGACCCACGGCACTATCAGAAAGTTGCTATCAGAAACAATGCCCGACTGTTTTGGACGTAATATGGTCGGTGTTTACATTAGCATCGCTAACACTCAGAGCTAACCTGTACTGGAGAGCATGTGTGTGAAGAAGCAGGAAATAAAAAGGAACTCACCTTGTGGTATAACCGGCAAGAGAGAAAGCCTTTGAGCTCCATACTGTTTCAGAAATAATCCTTGATAATCCATGATATGGCGTTTCATCACGGCAGTATTTAGTTTAGACAGTAGCTGCCGGGTCCCGCATGAGCTCCGCCCCCTTCTTTTTTTTAATCAACTTTATACCCAAAATCAGCTATTTTGAAACAGGAAGTGAAATAGAGGGATATGAGGCATGGCTAGAATGGGTGATCTGTTTGGTATTTTGAGCAAAACACTTCATAGACATGTTTTTTATATATTTGTATATATCTGAGACCTATGCTATTGCCTAAAAATAGCATGATAGGTGCACTTTAAAGGATATCACATCATATTTTGGCTTCCAAGACATTTTTCCTTGAAGGCATTTTAAAATGTCACAGTAGGAAAATGAATGACGTCTGATTTTCATTTAGCTCCTCCTGTTTTCCTGGTGCTGTGCATGCTGCTCACTTTCACACTGTACCATGGCATGCTGGGAAACTTAAGTAACATCTGTGCTTTCTCTCCTGTGACAAGTCAGAAAGTCTGCTGCCTAAAAAAAGCCAAAGGAAAATAATTTAATTTAAAAAGAGTTATGTTTTTTCTCATGCCAAAAATGGTTGGTTAAGAAAAGTTATTTTACTCCCAAAAAAAGAAGAAAGACATTGCACAATCCTGATTCCAAGCATGATGTGTCATCACTTGTAATCCAGTTATGGGTGTGGTTCAGATTGGGGTCACCTATATTTCTGGGGCTGCTGTACTGTAAGTGGCTTTGTGTCCCTGCTCAATGCCATTAGAGTAAATGTCATTAAGAGAGGAGCTGAGATAGCAAGTTCGTCTCTCGCTCACTTCGCTTTCTCTGTCTGTTGCTCCTGGTGTTGGTGAATGACGATGTCGCGCACACGCTCAAACATATATGCAAATCCCTCACAGTCAGAAGATGATCTACAGGCCAAAGTAGGGAACATTTGCCAGACAGGTACTAAATGTCCTGATACTAACGTCCTCTTGTCTCTCTCTTTATCCTCCTCCCATCCCTTTTCCCTCTTGAATATCCTCTCTCAGGCTTCCTCAGTACCGGCGATCAGTCTGCTAAGGGGAACTACGGCCTGCTGGACCAGATTCAGGCCCTGCGCTGGCTCAACGAGAACATCGGCCACTTCGGAGGAGACCCAGAGAGGATCACCATCTTCGGCTCCGGAGCTGGGGCGTCCTGCGTCAACCTCCTCATCCTCTCGCACCACTCGGAAGGTAATTAGAGACTCACTGTGTTTGTGTCTCACCATTTGTTTTAATAGAAAAACTACCGTGCAGCATCTTCCCACTGGTCACAGGATTCCTGGATTTAAAATAAATGGTGATGTTAATAGTCTCGGTCCAACCCTGAAAATGACTGTTTTTGACAAACGGATTGTGGTTGGTTGCATGAATTCCACCTGATCCATTAATGTTAAAGCTGAGACCATTCCTCGCTAATCCCCGCACATCCACAATGCATATTTACTGGGAAAAGATGGCAATGCACACCTTCATGTCCCAGTCGACCTTGAAAACTCTAAACAAAAAATGTGTGATCCTGTATCTGTCGCTGGAATGACTCGCTCTGTATTTAAACATCATTGTTCCTTTATACAGCCTTTGGCTATTTCATGACCCGTGTAAATGTAATCATAGCAGCAAGGTCCTGTCCCATGTGGTCAGATGGAGACTCTGCTAGCAGCATCTAGCGCAGAAATCGTTAAGTCCTGTGATGTTCGCTTGACACCTCTATCCTCGGAGGAAAACACTGCACATCCTTTGAACTGAAGAATTTGAGCAGTCATGTGTCTAATGAGCGAGTCCAGGTTTGATTCAGGTTGTGTCGTACATGTCTGCGGAGGATGAATCCCCAACATTTCCCCACATTACCTGAGTATGCGAGCGCTCCTGGCTCTGTTAACGGTCCACCGCTCTGCAGCAGAGAGGCTCTACCTCGGTCGAAAGAAACCTACATCCGTCTGACCTCGTGCTCCCCATTACCAACAGCACACCCCGAGGGCTAAGTGTTAACATTGCACCACCAAAAGAGAGACGCCTACGGACCGATCCACTTTGATCTGAATTGAGATCAGTGTGGCTGCCGACCCGCAGCCAAACGGTCACGCACTCGGCGCCTTTGATCATGCCGTTCTTGAAGCTGCCCTCCTCAAATCGTAACTCGACACTGCTCAAGGACTCTCTCTCAATATCGCTCTCCTCTATTCATTCACAAACCGCGTAGGACAGACACAGGGAAGAAACGGTGGATAGAGAGATTCAAGAGAGCGTGTTCACAAAACCTCACATCTGTTTCGATCCTCTCTGTGTTTGTGTGTATCTAAGTGTGTTTGTTTGTGTCTAAAGCACCAAGCAGACGCCTCTAACTTTGACTCATTCTGTCTGTGTAAATCTGCTGTAATAACAAATGTGTGTTGTCAAAGCTCCAGTGAGCATCTGTGCTGCTGTGTCACTGTGTCCATTTATCCCAGCCTCTATAATTACACTGATGTCTGCCTACCCTTCATATTAACCCAGCACACCCAACCTTTCTCCACTCATCGGCAGGTGACCCAATTAGCCGTTAGCAACCTCCCATAACCCCAATTATTTGATATTGATATCATAACAGGGGCCATGCATAGTGTGTGGAAAGTTTTAACTTATTTCTGTGATGTCTATAATACAATATAAACATACTTATACTGCATTATATTATGCGTTTTACTTTCAAGTTATAAGCACTTGTAAATATCTATATCTCAGGATAGCTAATGGATAAGCCATTATAAAAAGATGATGTTTTATGGGAATTATTATATGCTTTAATTCCTGCAAAAACAAATGTCATGGACTGACTAGCAATTTAAGTCATTCAAATGTTCAATGTTTCATTATAAAGCATTTTGAATATGTATGAGCAACCCAGTCTCACGGCATTTCGTGTTATAGTCACGAAATTAATTTAATCTAGTGATTCGTGTTCACCAAAAAGATTTTTGCATTTGTTTCGTGTCACACAGAACTATTTTAAAAGCAATGTATTTCTATTGGTAGTATGTTTCGTGCCTGCACCACGTCTTTTTGTCCGGTCGGGTCTTGGAATACCAGAAGCTGTGTGGTTCATAAAACATTTTCTTACTCAATATCTTACCCTAAGCCTAACCTTTTTATTTTAAGTTGTATAATGTCGGAGTTTTTTTGCCGTCCGCGAGGAAAAGAAATGGCTCAGAGCCTCAGAATACTGACATCTGTATTTTTTGTCATCTTTTTTTCCTTCTAATTTGATATTATTTGGTGCAGGCACGAAACATACTACCAATAGAAATACATTGCTTCTAAAATCGTTCTGTGTCAGAATACTGAAATCTGTATTTTTTTTTTATCTGTTTTTCCTTCTAATTTGTTATTATTTACATTGCTTTTAAAATCGTTCTGTGTGACACGAAAAAAATGGCGAAATCGTGTTGGTGAACACGAATCAATAGATTAATTTCGTGACTATAACACGAAATGCCGTGAGACTGTGTTGGTATGAGTGCTTATAACTTTGTAAACAGTGCTATAAGCAGTAAATAATTTCAAGTGTGTTTCTAATGCATTCGAGAAAATATCACATTCTTTCCTTAAGTTTCTGTGTTTAGGAATCAAAATATGGAAAGAGCAAATTAGCATTAACATTAGCATGACTGCTAACCATGCCTTTTTGAGGTTATTAGCGTCTCTAGAAAGCAACATTTAAACCACCTTGTATATGATATTTTGTAACTCGAAATGACATATGAAGTCAAATCATATCTCAGAAGCATACTATATTATGCCACTCTTGTCTTTGCATAAGGTATGAAGCCTGAGTCAGGATGGTTAGTCTACAGTAGCTTAACATAAAGGCAGAGAAGAAAGGTAAACAGCTAGCTTGGCTTTACACTAAAATACACATCTCTAGCTTAGTTAGCTCCCAGCTCCAGGTCTGTTCTTAACATACAGTACAGACACAAGTGTTGAATACATTTCATTTAACTCTAGAAAAGTAAATGAAGTTTATTGATGATGTAGTATTTCTCAGATGGCTTATGTGCACTGGCTATCTTGCTTGCTTGTTTATTTTCAGATAGCAACCAGCCATTGACACTCATTGTAGCTCAATTATATGTTTTCAGGGACCCCCCCCCCTTTTAGCAGCAGACAGACCCTAACGGTTGGGAAAGCCTGTATTAACCCCTTGTCTCCTGTTGCTGACAACCAACCCCCCTCACCCCGCCACCAGTCCATTCTCATGCCTCCACTTTTGTCATCAACCCATCGTCATCATCCGCATCTAACACCGGCCCTCTAGACGCCGCCTGTCTGTCATTCTCCCCCCTCTCCCCCGCCAGGGACACCAGGTAAGGAGTCTGTCATCCCCACCCTTTAGGGACACCAATCATGTCACCTACACGCCGTCGCAAATCAAAAACGACAGCAGGCACGCACAGGATGGATGGCAGGAGGGAAGTGGTAGACAGGACAGAGAGAGGGGTTATAAGTGATGCTGATATGATAAAGGGGGGAGACATCACCCAAAGTATCCTGTATTTAAGGAAAGAGGTGGAGACATTCTAACATTATTGAGGAAGAATATAGTAGCCAAATCTAGCTAAGTACTGAGCGGCGAAGGCTCTCTTATTTTGAATTAAATAATAGCGTCTTTTTCGGTGCAGATGTGTAGGTATAGCTGTTTCCGAGCTGCTTCTTACTATAATTGATTTCCAGGGAAAGAAGGCTCTGCAGCTCTGCTTAATAATTAACTGACCAATCTTCAGCCCAAGAGAGGGAAGAGAAAGAAAAAGGGGAGCGCGAGAGGAAAGGAGTGAGTCAGGCGGCCTCTTAACGAGCCACTTGAGTGGTTCAAACAGCACCGGAAAGGCAGAACCATGGAGACGGAGAGAGACAAAGAGGAAGAGGGGGAGGGAGGAACACAGCCAGGGAGAGTGAGAGAAGAAACAGCTAGCACGAAAAAGAGGAAAATGGCTCTCTTGACGTCTCAGATGAGCTTATTCCCAGTCTGGCTTCTTTTGTAGCCCTGTAGCATGCTCTATTCGAGGTGCTTTGGGTCTGTAGTGACGTAATGCCTCTGCCAACTGTATTCCAGTGAGAATAATCAGATGGAAAAGTAAAATTGGAAGTTTTTTTTATAAAGGGTAATTCTTTTAGTGGAAAAAGAGATGTGCGATATTCATATCAAGAAGTCTCTCTTACCATCCTGCCGGCAAAAAACACACGTGGTGGGAAAAGCACATGACATTTAGAGAGATCACCCAATATTTTTAAACGATGTTGGTCATATTCACCCCTTCATACAGTATTATAATCCTCTTTTTCTTTCATATCCTCAGGTCTGTTCCACAGGGCCATAGCTCAGAGTGGAACAGCCATCTCCAGCTGGTCCGTCAACTACCAGCCCCTCAAGTACACAAAGATCCTGGCCCGGAAGGTGGGCTGCACGTACACAGAGACGGCCGACCTGGTCGACTGCCTGAGGCGCAAGAACTTCCGGGAGCTGGTGGACCAGGACATCCAGCCAGCCCGCTACCACATCGCCTTTGGCCCCGTGGTGGACGGAGACGTGGTGCCCGACGACCCTGAGATCCTCATGCAGCAGGTGAGGGTCTACCATGCAAAGAGAACATGGAGAACTTGTTGAAAGAGGTGTGACCTTTCCTCAGAGTTAGGGTCTGGCTGTGACATTTAGCAGCTGGTGTGACCTCGCATCCTAAAACGCTGAAACACACTGCCTCGGTGGTAGATTCTATACCCATGGCTCACCACTTATTTGTGCTTGTTATCCCATACATACAAATCATTGTGTACTTGCAAATCCTTTCTTCACAGGTCGTGTGATCCGTTCAATCCACAACTGATTTTCTTTTTTCAGCTTAAATGGAGTCATTTTAGGAGGTAAAACCATCCAGTATTACACAAGGACACAGGAAAGATAAGGAATAGTCCAAAAGATACAAATAAAACGTTCTGATTTCATATTTAGTTATTTGTCATTCTTATTTTGCTATTCTTAATTGCTTTTACTTGTAAGCTCTATAAGTTCTTAATACTCACAATTAACGTCAGTTTGTTTACATTTCTCACATAAGGGTAAAAAAATGAGACGGACTGAGGGAAAGTATTATAAAGAAATGCAGTCCTAATACAAAAAGTGATTTGTTCCAATATACTATTATGATTATTATCATATAATGGATATGGTATAATTGGATAAATGTAATATAAATGTATCTAAACTGGATTTATTTTAATGGTTTCTTACTTTTATTATGATAAATACTTTATTGCTTTCACGATAGACCAAAATGACATCATCTTAACATGCAACAATAACTCAAACCTGAAACATATGTTAAGAAAGAAAGAAAGAAAAAATTGCATTATTTTGGGAAAATTACATTAAAAGCTCATTATGTCAGACTGCTGCTGCCCCTATTTTAAGTGATACTCCTTCACCTTGTCCATGTTTTTTACTGAGCTTGTAGTTATTGTCCCACAACAAAAGCTATACATCAACACTATTGGCATAGATATCACATACAAGTAGGAAAAAAGCTGATTTGACTTTACAAATGCACAAAACAAAGTCGTGTTTAGCAGCCTTCACAATTGTACTGAATTCAGCCCTCAACATGTTCTTCCCCTCTTGCACCACCAGGGGGAGTTCCTCAACTATGACATCCTGATAGGAGTGAACCAAGGCGAGGGGCTGAAGTTTGTGGACGACAGTGAGGACAACGACGGCATCACAGCTGCTGCTTTCGACTACACCATCTCCAACTTCGTGGACAACCTCTACGGCTACCCTGAAGGTAGGGACTGTCGACATTGTACTCCATCCAGGCTGTAATGTACTCTCTCTGAGTGTACCACCTCTAAGATGACACCCCCATGTAATGAAACCTTCCTGGGGTCCACACACACACAACTCAAATGAAAGGATAAATTGCCAAAATAAAAATAACTTAAAGTTCTAAAAGTATCAGTTACAGAATAAATGATTAGCACAAAAGTGACCTAAACAATTTAATAAATACTGTACTATTCAAGGTTCAAGGTTCAAGGTTCAAGGTTCTTTATTGTCAATCTGACATAGCTACAGAGTAATTATGCAGTTGAAAATCTTATGTCACAGGCTTCTCCAACAATGCAACATAATAACATAACATAATAACAATAAGAGCAAGAGCAATACAAAAATAATAATAGTTATAAAAATGAAATAAAGTTATGATGTGGAATAGTGCAGTATGAGTCTATATACAAGTTATTGGAATGATATATATATATTAGGTATTAGATACATACTACTGAGTAGCAGTTGAATGTTTGAAGTTGTTTCAACAGTTCAATTTTTTTAACAGTCTCACTGCCCGCGGGAAGAAACTGTCTCCGAATCTTCTTGTCCTTGCCAGGATGCTGCGGTAACGTCTGCCAGACGGCAACAGAAAGAACAGTTTGTGGCTGGGGTGATGGGGGTCTTTGATAATCCGTAGTGATTTCTTCCTGAGCCGCTGGGAGTAAAGGTCCTCCATGGATGGCAGCTCCGTCCTGGTGATGTGCTGTGCAGTTTTCACCACCCTCTGTAAAGCCTTACGATCGAGGTCGGTGCAGCTGCCGTACCAGGCCGTCATGCTGCCAGTGAGGATACTCTCTATCGTGCACCTGTAGAAGTTGCAGAGTATCCTGGAATCCATTTTGAACCTCCTCAACCTGCGGAGGAAGAAGAGCCGCTGTCGAGCTTTCTTGGTGATGGTGGTGGTGTGAAGAGACCATGTCAGGTCCTCAGTGATGTGGACCCCAAGGAACCTGAAGCTTTTGACTCTCTCCACCGTAGTCCCATTGATGGCGATGGGGGGCGTGTCCCTCTCCCTGCTGCTTCCTGTAGTCCACAATCAGCTCCTTTGTTTTGCTGATGTTGAGATGGAGGTTGTTCTCCTGGCACCAAGATGTCAGGTTTTCGACCTCCTCTCTGTACGCCGTCTCGTCATCGTCTGTGATCTGGCCGATGACGGTCGTGTCATCAGCAAACTTCACGATGGTGTTGGAGCTGTGTGTGGCCACGCAGTCGTGGGTGAACAGGGAGTAGAGGAGAGGGCTGAGCACGCAGCCTTGAGGGGCACCGGTGTTGAGAATCAGGGTGGAGGATGTGATATTTCCCACCCGCACTGCCTGGGGTCTGCCCGTCAGGAAGTTCAGGATCCAGTCACAGAGGGCGCTGTTGAGCCCGAGGTCTCTGAGCTTGATGGCCAGCTTGGAGGGCACAATGGTGTTGAATGCTGAACTGTAGTCAATGAACAGCATTCTCACATATGTGTTCCTGTTCTTCGGGTCCAGGTGTGAGAGGGCAGTGTGGAGGGTGAGGGCTATGGCGTCGTCTGTGGACCTGTTTGCTCTGTAGGCAAACTGCAGGGGGTCCAGAGATTCAGGGAGGGAGGAGGTGATGAATAATTTGACTAACCGCTCAAAGCACTTCATTATGATGGAGGTGAGTGCTACTGGGCGGTAGTCGTTGGGGCAGGTGATGATTGTCTTTTTGGGGACAGGAATGATGGTGGAGTGTTTAAGACATGTGGGGACTACAGACTGCAGCAGGGACCTGTTGAAGATGTCTGTGAACACCTCTGCCAGCTGAACTGCACACACCCTGAGAACACGGCCAGGGATGCCATCAGGTCCAGGAGCCTTGTGTGGGTTAACCCTTTTAAAGGATTTACACACATCTGCCCTATTTAAAACAAAAGGGCAGTGTAGCTCCTGGTCCCTCTGTACCTCCACAGCCTGGCTGCTCTCAAAGCGTGCAAAAAAACTGTTTAGCTCATCTGGGAGAGATGCGCACGCAGACACTCCCGCAGCACCCCCCGCTGCTCCTTTGTAGTCAGTCATTGTCCTTAGTCCCGCCCACATATTCCTAGTGTTACAGCCTTTGAAGTCAGATTCCACCTTGTCTTTGTACTGTCTCTTTGCATTTGTTATTGCTCTCCGGAGATCATACCTAGACTTCCTGTACTCCTCCAAATCTCCCGCTGTGTGCGCGAGAGTGCGCGCTTTCAGTTTGCCGCGCACCTCACCGTTTACCCAGGGCTTTTGATTTGGGAATGTCCGTACAGAAACCTTCGGTACCACGTCATCGATGCATTTCCCAATGTAGCAGATGACAGTGTCCGTGTGTGTGTTGATGTTATTGTCCTCAAACACACTCCAATCCGTAGATGCAAAGCAATCCTGCAGTGCTGAATCTGACTCCTCGCTCCATCGTTGTACTGTCCTTGTTATCGGTCTGTCCCTTTTAAGTTTCTGCTTGTAAGCAGGCAACAACAGTAGTGAGATATGGTCTGATTTGCCGAAGGGAGGGCGAGGGAGAGCCTTATATCCATTCCGGAAAGGGGAATAAACATGGTCCAGTATGTTTCCCCCGCGCATCGGGAAGTTGATGTGTTGGTAATATTTTGGCAAAACCTTCTTCATGTTGGCGGTGTTGAAATCTCCGGCCACAACGAACGCCGCATCTGGCCGTGAAGTCTCGGTTTTATCAATAAACCCAAACAGCTGATCGAGTGCCGTGTTGTTGTCGGCGAGTGGCTGCGGCGGGATATACACTGCTGTTATCACAACAGATGTGAATTCCCTCGGCAGATGGAAGGCCCGACATGAGATCATGAGGTGCTCTAGCTGTGCGGAACAGTCCGATGAAATAATCTTCACATCTGAGCACCAGTTGTTGTTAGTCATTACACACACACCGCCTCCCTTACTTTTCCCCGAGTTAGCAGTCCGGTCCTGACGAAAAATAGAGAATCCGTCAGGGACAATAGCGGAGTCCGGGATAGCGGGGTTGAGCCAAGTCTCAGTGAGAATTAACACGTTACAGTTCTTAATGTCCCGTTGAAAAGCAATCCGGCTTCTGAGTTCATCTAGCTTATTTTCAATGGATTGAACATTAGCCAGAAGAATACTCGGAAGAGGGGGCCGATTCTCACGTTTTCTCAGTCTGACCAGCAACCCGGCCCGGCATCCCCTCCCTGGTAGATGAGTGTATTACACACTATGTGTAAGGATGCGTGGAAGGGTAGGACCCAAATGCAGACTATCAGAAAAGGTAAACGGTCTTGAAACAAAAACGAGCTTTATTCTTAAAGCTTAACAATAGCATGGCATGAAACACATAGGTTCTATAGAAAACTGACCGTGACCAACATGGTGGGAGACAGGAGAAACAAACAATGAACCGACAGGGGAACACAGGAAGAGACAAGACTAAATACAGAGAGGGGTAATCACAAGACGAGACACAGCTGGGGTAAGGGAGGCAGAAACACAAGGGCAACAGGTGAACACAATCAAACAATCAGACACACCAGGGAAACTAAGACAGGAAGGCAAACACAGGAAGAAGGAACAGAGAAGACACGAGGAAAACATTTCAAAACAAAACAGGAAACCAGAAAAAGACAAGACAAAACACAACACAGACAGATCGTGACATAACCCCCTCCTCAAGGGACGGATCCCAGACGTCCCAAAAAACATAGTCTAACACTTCAAAAAAGGGTGGGTGGAGGGGGTCCGGAGGACGGGCCCGAAAGGGGTCCCGGGCGGACGGCCCGGGGGCAAGGCAGAGTCCAAAAAGGGGCGACGGCCACAGCGGGCGAACTCAGGGGGCCGGGCATGAGAACAAAGGCAGCGGCTCTCAGGGGACCGGGCTCGAGGGCGAAGGCAGCGGCTGGAAGAATCAGGAGGCCGAGCCCGAGGGCGAAGACCGCGGCTGGAGAACTCAGGAGGCCGGGCTCGAGGGCGAACAAGAAGGCGGCGACGAGACAGCTCCGGAGGACGGGCAGGAAGGCGCCGACGGGACAACTCCGGAGGACGGGCAGGAAGGCGCCGACGGGACAGCTCCGGAGGACGGGCAGGAAGGCGCCGACGGGACAGCTCCGGAGGCCGGGCAGGAAGGCGCCGACGGGACAGCTCCGGAGGCCGGGCAGGAAGGCGCCGACGGGACAGCTCCGGAGGCCGGGCAGGAAGGCGCCGACGGGACAGCTCCGGAGGCCGGGCAGGAAGGCGCCGACGGGACAGCTCCGGAGGACGAGCAGGAACCAGTATCGGCCGGACAGGAACCGGAGCCGACGGGACAGGCGTAGACGGGGTCCTGAACATGACATGGGCTGGTGTCGACAGGACCCCCAACGGAACAGGACACAGAGTTGGCAGGACCCCCGGTGGAACAGGTGTCGGCGGGACCTCCAACAGGACAGGACACAGAGTTGGCAGGACCCCTGGCAGGACAGGTGTCGGCGGGACCCCCAACAGGACAGGACATGGATTTGGCAGGACCCCTGGCAGGACAGGTGTCGGCGGGACCCCCAACAGGACAGGACATAGGGTTGGCAGGACCCCCGGCAGGAGAGTAGTCGGCGGGACCTCCAACATCACAGGACATAGGGTTGGCAGGACCCCCGGCAGGAGAGTAGTCGGCGGGACCTCCAACATCACAGGACATAGGGTTGGCAGGACCCCCGGCAGGAGAGTAGTCGGCGGGACCTCCAACATCACAGGACATAGGGTTGGCAGGACCCCCGGCAGGAGAGTAGTCGGCGGGACCTCCAACATCACAGGACATAGGGTTGGCAGGACCCCCGGCAGGAGAGTAGTCGGCGGGACCTCCAACATCACAGGACATAGGGTTGGCAGGACCCCCGGCAGGAGAGTAGTCGGCGGGACCTCCAACATCACAGGACATAGGGTTGGCAGGACCCCCGGCAGAAGAGTAGTCGGCGGGACCTCCAACATCACAGGACATGGGGTAGGCGTCGGCCATAGAGCCAACAGGACACGGGGTGCTGGAGTCGGCCG